ATGCTTAATAAGCATTATCAATAACACAATAGCTAGGTTAAATAATAAAATTTACCAACATGACGTCCTTATAATCAAAGTCTATCTTCTATATGAGTCTAAATTATAATTTTTATTGAGACAGATATTCGATTAATGCTTAAATTTATCGGGCAATAAAATATTAAGTCTACAAATAAAATGAAACTGATTTTTGGTAGTCTACTTATCAGTTCCATTTCGTCGACATTTTATCTCATTTTCCATTGCAGAACTGCACTTATCACTAATTGTTTTTTATTAATATGTTATCTTTGATCAGATAAAGCGGTTTAAGTTTCACCTGCGTGGCAAGCGAGTTAGTACTCGTCAATCACTGTGTTGTGTTTAATACGGTGACGCGAAAATGGCTGAAGGTTCTGAATTAATGTATTTTGATCTCAGACTGGTTCATGATCATTTTGATCGAGCACTCTTACAAGACGACGATATTGATCTCAAAGCCTATTTGGATGCCTACAATGAACTTTACAAGTAAGATGACAAAAGACTTTACTGTACATAACCTATAGCCAGCCGAAAGTAAAACATTGTATCTAGTTAATTTTTTTTTTCTGAATTAGAAGCTCAATTAGATCTCAATTAGAAGCATATCATAATGTCAATGCTATACGTAATATCCTCACAATTTTTCATTGAGCTAAATTTACAAATATAATGTATATTTTTCTACCATCTGTTTTCTTGTGCATATGCATCATTGTAATCTCTTACAGATTTTTCCAACTGATGGGCAGTGTTTTTAGTTTTGTATCTTCTGACTTGAAAGAAAAAATTCAGATACTGAATGATTTGATAAGCAAGGATGATCAGAATTATACCACGATAAAATCCATGATACAATATGAGAAGGAAAGCAAGATTCTAGATAAGGGAGACTATACGAATGGTGCTCGTACACTGTTGAGGCTTCATAGAGGCTTAGGTATTACAATGTATGAAAGTTTCTTTGTGAAAATTTATTGTATTCCATTTACTAATGTTTCCTGAATTTGTAGATTTTATTAGAGAATTTTTAAGACAATTGGGAGAACTATCAGACAGTGACAAGACATCCAGCTGTTGCCAAGATGCTTACAATAAAACATTAGCCAAACATCATCCATGGGTAATTAGAAAGGCAGCAGTAGTTGCTATGTATACAATGCCCACTAGGGAATTATTGTTCAAAAAGGTATTTATTTTTTGTCTTTCTTTGTAAAAATAGATCATTCTTAATTATTTTTCCTTTGTATCGTTTGTAGGTCTGTGGTACAGATATCCAAAGGAACGTCGATGTTTTACCAAAGATGTTAGAAGTAACCGCGGATATATTTAACCGGACACACAATCTCTATGATATTCATCAACTTCACAGTCTACCATAAGAACGCATTTAGAATATAAATGATATTGCACTTACTTCTTGTTGCTCAAGAAAGCACGCAACATGAGCATTCCATATTCGAGATGTGATACGTTGCCATTTCTATATATTGAATAGCGATATCATATCGATGTTTTTTTTTTTTTTTTTTTTT